GGGGTCAGGGTTTAGGGGAGCTAAGTGACTGTGCCCCACCAGTTTATTTAGATATAAGGCCACTGAGGTGAGTGATGGGCAGTGACCTGAGGTTATCCCTGTTGTTCCCCCAGCCCAGGCTGCAGGAGGGGAGGGAGGAGGACTGGGGTCCTATCCCCTTTCTCTGCCACCCCTCTTCTTGTCCCCAGTAGCTTGAATTTTTGTCTTGGGTCAGACACGGCTCAAAACCACCTCTAGACCCTCATGGCTTAGAACGAGCCCTGTGATGCCTTATTTGTGTCCTGGCTGCATCCTGAGCATCCCTCAGGCTCTGCTCCCTGGGAGAACCTGTCCTCCCATCCCCATGGAGCAGAGGGGCTGGCAGGGGGGAATGTGGGAATATTCCCTCCTTAACCTGCCCGTTCCAGCTGTGGTTCCTGCACTTCAGCCCCGAGCGCTGCCTGCGAGCCTTGTCCTCCCACCTCACTCACCTGCAGAGGACGGGACAGGTAAGGGGGGGTGGGCACAGATTGGGGACACCTGCAGGTCCAGCCCTGAGCCCCAGCTGGGGTGGGATGGGGGTGGGTAAGTGTTTTGATGGGGTTATTAGAATTATTAGAAACGCCTCTGCCCGAATTGAGGTGCAAACGAGACCGGCTGGCAAAGGCAAGAGTCTGGATTTTATTGAGCAGTAAATGTGAATAATTTGACAGTTAATAATTTAGCAGTGCCAATTAATGGTTAAATAATTGTTAATTAATAATGAAATATTAAATAAGTATTAATAATTACTAATAAAGAACAATCAAATAAATAAATAGATTAATATAACATATTAATACTATTATATTAATAAATAAATACTGAATAATTAAATAATAAGCAATTACTATTAATTAAATATAGCCAATTAATAACAGTACCAATTGATAATTAAAACAGTAACAACAATTTAACAGTAAATGTGTAATTAACTGTTATTTAACAGTAAATGTGAAGCAGAGAGAGAATGAAATAGGGAAAGGAGGATGGGGGGGAAGAAAGAGTGACAGAGAGAGATTAAAACAGAAAATTTATCATAACTCTGTGATAATTTTGATGATATTTAGGAGATTAACAACATTTCAGTCCATCACAGCAAGGACAGCTGAGTGTTTGAGTGTCCTCCTGGGCTGTCCCTGCTGGGAACTGGGCAGACTGGGAGGTGGATCAGCTGCACCTGCTGGTGCCCAGTTCAGCAGGGACTTGTTTCGATTTGTTTGTTTGGTCTGTGCATGTCTGGGTAATTAACTGCACAGCTTTAATGAAGGAAAGTCATCAGGAATCAAAGAAAGGCAAATTTTGGAAGCACGTGTCCCAGCTTGAAACAGCTGACACCTTGAGCTGCCCTCCTGGAATAAACGGGGTGGCCTGAGGGAGAAGGAAATGCTGTGTTGGGATAATTGGATAAAAATTTTCTCCTCTTGGCCTTCAAAGAAATGTGGGTGTACAAATATCCCCTGAACTACCCTTGCTGGCTGTGGGATGAGAGGTGAAGGGGTACAACCCTCCCAAAAATCTCCAGGTTGCTCATCTATCTCCCTGCAGAACCAACAGCTTGGGGGGTGGAGAGTGACCCCCCAGTCCACACACAGGGGGTTTTATAGACTAAGATTTTAAAAACTCAGATTCTAAAGACTCAGAGTTTAACAAACTCAGATTTAAAGAGTCAGATTTTAAAAAACTCAGATTCTAAAGACAAGATTCCCCCTGGCAGGCCGTGACCATCGTGCTGGGAACAGTCGCTGCCACGGGAGCTCCTGGCCCCCGGGCTGTGGGATGGGCACCCACCTCCAAGTGCTTGGGGTGGCAAACCCCAGGAGTACAAAACATGCAGGAGGAAATTGTTTAAGCCCTTTAAAGGCTGTTCTTAGGATGCCACTGCTTTTGGAGAACCCGAAATCTTTCTCTTCCAGGCAGGATTGAGGCACAGGCTGGACAAGCTCTGTGTGGTCATGGAGGCAGCAGTTCAGCCTGACCTGGGAACAGAGGATGAGGAGGCTCCATGTGAAGAGTCCCCTCTTTTATCCAGTGGGGAGAACCTGAATAAAAAGCCTGTGACGTGCAATGAGCTGCTCTGCCTTGTCCCTGAGGGCCCACCAGAGGTAAGGAGAAATATCCCTCCCTGTCAGCCCGAGGCACCAAATCACCTCCCCAGGCAGCTCAACTCCAAAACTCATCCCAGCACCCACCAGCCATGGGAGACACCTCCTTTTTCACCACCAGAAGCACCTGGAATTCCACACACACACACCTTCTCCAGCCCTGCTGTTGCTGAGCAGTTAAATCTTGCTGAGCAGCCAATGCTTCATCCCTGAGGAATTCATGGCTTGGGCTTTTCCTTGCTGGTACGCAGGGGTCTCAGTTTGGAAGACAAATTCTACCCAGGGTCTGTGCAGGGACATGGTGCCCCTGTCCAGCCTGGGGATGAGTTATGAACGTGGCCAGCCTTTGTTCCTTCCATGGAAAGTGCCTTCAAAGACTTGTGCCACGCTGAGCAACAAATGTGTCCTCATTCCTGCTCAGCAAGGAGCTTCAAAAGGAATGATTTTGATTTATTTTCCAGTTTTCCTCTCGCTGTTACTACGTGAATTCTGTGCAGGTGCCATCCCTGCAGATTGAGGCTCTCTGGCTGTCCACAGGCAAAAAATAAAATAGCCAGAGGAGGCAGTGATGGAGTGGGCAGGTCCCCAGGCTCCCAGGCCACCCACAGGTCATTCTGTGTCCCTGCCCTGTGGGGACAGTGCTGACCAGAAGGAGATCTGGGACAGTTATATGTGCCATTGGCTGCTGTCCTGCTCCCCTCAGAGTAGGACAGTCCTTGAAGGAGGGTGTTTAATACGTCTCTCTGCCCAGGTGCCCTGCTCTGACACCCCTCTGCTCGTTCCAGGTGATGGCCCAGCAGCTCCTGGTGATCTTCAGCGGGTGCTACGTCCGGCTCCTGGTCACTGGGCAGCTCCCTGGGGCCGTGGCAGGGGGGCACCTGGAGCACAGCCCCCTGCCCTGTCTCTGCCAGTTCATCCAGACCACCGTGCTGGACTCACACCAGGGCTGGTTCCCGGGCAGGTGACACCCTGAGTGGGTTGGAAAATGGCCAAAATAAAAGCTGTCCCTTCCACACCAGTGGGGCAGAAGAGAGGGCTGTGCTCCCTCATCCTGGATTTACCCAGATGAACAAGTGGACTCCAATAAAACATGCAAGACACTCCCAGAAAGCTGCTTGCCTTGGAGACCTGCCTGCCCCTGACTCACTGCGAAGGAGCTGCCCCGGGGGTCAGAAGCAATCCAGGGACAGGCTGGAGCTCCTGGGGGACATTTCTCACTGCTCTTACCTGGGGGAGGCTCAGAGAGCCACAGGGAACAGCCCCAGGTGCCAGTCCCACGCCTTTGGAGTGAAGCACGTGGGAGTTTTCAGTAGCAGGAAGACAGGGAAACGCTGCCTGGCAGTGCTGGAAATGTGATACTTGCTCTGGGTTGTGTTTGTGTCACACAGCTGTCGGTGACAGAGAGCTCTGCCCTGTGACAGACACGGGCAATGCCTCAGCTGATGACTCAGCACCCTTTCCACTTAGGAACAAGGTGGGGATGGTGCTCACGACCTGCTGCTTCTGCTGCCTCTCCTGGCAGGGAGGAGATGGGCGTGGAATCATGGAATGACAGAGTTGGAAGGGACCCACAAATATCATCGAGTCCAGCTCCTGGCCCTGCACAGGCTCATCCCCAAGAGTCACATCTCATAGAAACACAGAATGGTTTGGGTTGGAAGGGACCTTAAAGCTCAGCTCATTCCAGCCCCCTGCCAGGGGCAGGGACACCTTCCACCAGACCCCGGGGTGATCCTTGGGATCAAGCCTTGGAGAGGGCTCTCTGGGTAGGGCATCCTGGGGCACTGCTCCTTTCAGGCTCCCTTTTCAGGCTGATTTCCTTTGTTTTCCCTTTTCTCCTCTCTCCACACTGCACTTGCACACAACAGGTGAGAGGAGCCAGGGGTGAGCAGGAGCCCTTGGTGTGTCCACGGGATCCAGGAGGGAATGGGAAATGAAGCACTGTGGGCTCAGGTGGTGCTGGTGTCCTCCTGTCCCACAGCCAGGCCCTTCCATGACATTCAGGTGGCTGCTTGTGCTGGTGTGACCACCCAACCCCCAGCCTGGTGGTGACAGCTGTCCCAGGGAGTGGCACTGTCAGAATAAAGAGCCCAAGGTCTGTATGTTCCAGCCTGTCCTCCCTCCTTCCCCACCATCCCCTGCAGAGCCCCACAACCCCCAGGGCAGGGTTTGTGCCTCTCCCACCTCCCCAAAGCCCAGCCTGGCTCACACAAAGCCAGGAGGTATTTTAAAATGAAGGTCAGTAATTTGGTCAGTAAATGGTCAGCAAAGGCCAAAGCGTCGCTCAGAGGGGCAGCACGAGGCTGAGCCCTGGAGCTTTGGGAGCTTTCACTCAGTTCTTCCCAGGGGTGCAGGATGACTCTGCTCCCTCTCTTATTATTTCTACTACAAGCAGTAGTGAGTCCCAGCACCACAACGACAGCAAACCCGTTCCAGGACAAAACCCTCCACTCTCCCAACCTTTGATCCAACTTTACTTCTGGTTCAGCTGTCACAGGAGGGGGTCGGGCAGAGTCTTCCCCACGTGTGTGAGGTTTGTGATTCTGCTGTCATTGCTCTGTGACCCTGCAGGGTTTGGGGGTGAGGAGGGGGTCCAGCTGTGGTCCTGCAGCCCCTGCTCTGGGGGTGCTGGTTTGCCCCTTCAGGCTGGGCATGGGGAAAGGGGTTGTACAAAGACACTGTGGGATTTCCACAGCCCTGAGCTCCCAGACTCCTCACTCCAGCTCAGGGACTGACTTGACCTTCATGGAAACTGTCTGAATTCATGCCAATGTCACGGGGAGCACAGTTTGGTTTCACAGGATAAAAATCCAATTCACTGCTAGGATGCAATGGCTCGAGCTCTTCCCCTGGTATTCCATGGCCCAGCAGTGCCAGGAGAAAATTCTGGTAACAGGAGACCAATTAAGGTGTTTTCTATCCTTGTGCTTCTGTGTTGAGAGCAGATACAGGAGGGATTAGCTGATATTTTCCGATCCCTGGGCTGCAAGATAACCAGCAAATGGATTCCCTGGAGAAATCAGTGGGAAGAAATCTTGTGGCCTTCATGGGAGGACCTTGAGGGCTTTTTACTGTCAGGACCTGCACTGGATGGGTTTGATGTTCCTGGGAAGGGAGGCTGTTGCTTCAGGGGGTGCTGATACCTCTGCCTTTACATCTGCAAATGCACAAGAATAGGAGAAAAGAAGGGGATTTGGGATTAGCCAAGGGGAAAGGGAAGGGACTTGAAGGGATAAGGCTGGGATGTGAACAGGGAAAGTTCCTCCAAAAAACTCCTGCTAGGAACCATAAATAGCATTAGGAGCGAGGAGTCAGGCCAGGTTTGTGACATGGGGAGCCCACCTTGCTGCAGGGAGGGGATCAAGAGCCACAGCTTCCAGTGCCTCTGGATCAGCCACATTTCCCACCCAGATCACTCCTCTGCTGAGCCACGTGCTCCTGGCACCCTGTGCTGGGCCAGCTCTCCCTAGGGCACCACAGAGCTCCTGGCTGGGGAATGCTGTGGGATAGAGGGATGTGCAGCCCCTCATTGCACCAGCACAGCTCCTAAATCCACAGATCTGAGAGGCTGCTGTGCCCAATCTGCACCCAAGGGCCTGCCCTGATCTTCCCAGCTGGAGCCTCTGCTAAATCCTGACTCCCACTGCAGGATCATTAACAAACACCCCTTTTTTTTCCCCTTCATAAGCACTTAATTAAGGCATTAGTGAAGGGAGACACTCCCTTTCCCTTCCCCATCAAAGATCTAGCTGCTATTTTAGGCAACAGGTGATATTCTGGAGATTTTACAGGACTACCTGGGCACACAGTTTGCATTCCTGTCCCCCCACAGCACATGGGAGCAGCAGGAAGGGAATGGCTCAGCCCTACACTTTCCCTGGAGTCTCCAGTGCCAGCTCCTGGCAGAGGCAGGAGATCCCAGGCATGAGCTGACCGCTGTGGCATGAGCTGCCTGGGAATGTGCTCCTGCCTGGGTGCAGCTCTGGCCATGTTTGCACAGGAGCAAGCAGGAGTGACTCAGCCAAACCAGTACAACTGGTATTTTTTGGGCAGATCTCTCCTGTGCTGAGATTCCTCTGCCTGCTGCTCAAAACTGAGTTCACTCTGACAGCGAGGTTAAACACCTGAGCAAGGCGATGTAGGAGCAGCTCTGGGTGAACCTTCCTCTCCTTGTCTGGGATGGGTGAGGGGCCAGGATGGCCCTGGCTGTACCCACTGTGCCAAATTGGGACCAGCTGCTCTGGGGGTTTTGCATGAGTGATCTGCAAAGTCACCATGAATGGTGGGGATTAAACGAGCCAGGAAGGGGCTGGGGAAGGTTGGGAAGCAAGGCCAGGGATCTCTCACTGCCTGCTGGGGGTATGGACATTTATTTTGGTATTTAACAGGGTGCATGAAATGACAAAGACTACCCCAGGGACATGTGGTCCTGGAGGAGCAGGTGCCATCCTCTTGCCCCTCTGGAACCCCCCAGAGCATGTTTGCCCCTCCTTCCAGAGGCTGCTATTTGCTCATCCCTTCTGCCAGGGGCTGGCGTGGAACCAGGACATTTAACAACAAAACTCAGCGAGGAAAAATAAAGCGGGGAAGAAAAGAAACTTTTGCAGCTTGGACCTGTTCCTGCTCTTCCTCAGCCAAAGCTGAGGCTCTGAGGAAGACTGTGGTCACTGGAGCACGGGGAGGGAGAGGGCAGGGAGGTGTGGGGGTGCCCTGGGAGCCCAGGGGAGCCCTGGCCCCTCCATCCCATCCCGGGTGTGTGGATGTCGCTGTCCCCCCGGGGTCCGGACTCACTCTGCTGGTGGCCGCGGGGCTCAGCCTGTGCCGGGCAGGGCGGCGGCTCCCGGTGCTCCCGGCTCCACAGGGTCCTCATCTTCCTGGCCACATAGCGGCAGGCTGGGGGGAAAGGGGAGACCCCTGCTCACTGCAGGAACCCGAAAAAAACCCCCAAACACCCCCTCCCCAGCGAGCCCAGAGCGGGGCCTCTTGCTGAGCTGCGGGTCCACCCAGAAGGGGATCGTGGCGGGGCTTGCGGGACCCACGGCAGGTTAATGGCCAAAGGAAGCAGAGGGGATGCAGGGACTGGGTTTAACGGGCTAAATAAAAAGGAGTTGTCTCTGTGTCTGGGGCCCTGGCCGTGTTTCCAGCTTCTCCAGCCTTTCTCCCCCTACAAGCCAAAGCCACAAAACACGCGGAGCGTTTGCCCTGGGGGTGGTGGTGGGGGAATCCCTCTGAGCTGCCTCGCCTCAAACCAGAGGTTTCCTTACCGTCGATAATTACTCAAACCATTTTGTCGCGGGGCTCAGCTAAATCCGTCCTTCCCAGCCGGCCTTGGCTCTGCCTCCCGCTCCTCTCGCAGCAGCTCTGCAGTGTTGACTCACCAGCCCGGCTCCCTCCCTCCCTCCTTCCCTCCCTCCCTCGTTCCCACGGGGATGCTGCTCCCGGGGCGCCCAGTCACGCGCGGGGCAGTGGCTCAGCCTGGCCCTGTCCCCGGGATCCCTGCCCAGGAATGCGATCCCTGCCCCTCCCGCAAAGGAGAAAGTGCTCGGAGTGTTGGCTCCGAGCTTTGAGCCGCCCGTGGTGGAGAGGAAAGGGAAAGGGAAAGGAAAGCGGCCTGGCCGTGTCTGGAGGAGCTGCTGGTGGTGCCTTGTGGCTGCTGGAGGACCTGGGTTTGAGCTGGATGGGATCGCTGCCAGTGGGCACCGTGCTTGGGCAAGGCAGGGGAGAAGAATGCGGTGTTTCTTGCCGTGGGCAAGGGTACCCCACGCTATCCTTCCATCCCCCCATCCAGACCTTTGCACCTTTTTATACCATGTCCCACTGCATGAGGGGGAAGGAAAGGGTGGCATCCACAGCAGACAAGATTGCAGGCAGAGGCTTTGCTTTCTCCAGGATCCTTTGGGATCCTCCTTCAGAACACTGATGGATTTTAGTCCTCACTGCAGCCAGTTACTGAAGCAATGCATGTTTTGTACATCCTTTGCCAGACCTTGCTGCTGCCTGTGCTTGTCTGTGCTCCTTAATCTCAGCCAGGTGAGCTCTGACAGCTCCTGCTTTGCCCTTTGACCAGGGCAACGTGTTTCCAATCTCCAAACCGAGCACTGGCTGATCTAGGCAGGTCGGACTTTGGTTTCCATGGCCTTGCCTTGGGACTGTGTGAGGTTGGCCAGAGATGTGGCTGATGGAGGGCAGGAATTGCCTCTGCCTGGCCCACGGCTGCCCCCTCCCTGCAGTCACTGACAGATGAGGAGGTCCCTTCTCAGTGTCTCCTCTGGAGGATGAACAGTCCCAGCTCCCTCAGCCTTTCCTGGTCAAGGAGATGCTCCAGTCCCTTCAGCATCTTTGTAGCCTCTGTTGGACCCACTCCAGGAGCTCCATGTCCCTCTTGAGGAGCCCAGAACTGGGCACAGCACTCAGGATGTGGCCTCCATTGAAGCCTGCAGGAGCTTGGGATGCAAGATCTGTAGGTGATAAAAGAAGAATAATCAAGAGAAAACCCCCAATCCCTGAGCAACACCCTCCAAACCTCCCTCCTGAACCTCTCAACCTCCAACCCCCCCTGGAGGAACAATCCTTCCAGTTCTCAGATGAGCTCCCCAGGACAAGGGAATGATTGTGCTGAAGCAAAGAGTGAAGGTGGTTAGAGGAGTGAACTGCTCTTCTGAGGCTTTGCTGCTGAGGATTTGGCTCCCCCTGACCCCACACATGGCCCTTGGGTGTTCTCCTCTGCCAAATGTCACTGTGGAGCAGCCGTCTTGGGTGTGCAGGCACATCCCTCTAGATGGTGCTAAGATAAAGAGAAAAGATGGGTGGTGAGAGGCCTGGGAGGAGGGATGTCCTCCTGTGCACGGGCTCTGCTCATCTGGCCCTGCCAGAGGTCTCCTGGGCGAGGAGAACATCTCCCTCTGCTCTTGCTCCCAGCAAGGCTCCCGTGCCCTCATCCAGGTGCTCTCCTGTGGTGCTCACCGTGTCCATTGGCAGCAGACACACCCCAGGCCCTTCTCCCAGTTCTTATTTCCCTTGCTGGTGTTTGAGACTCCACAGATTCATCATGGTTTTAATCAGTGCATCTTCTCCCACCCGTGCACGAGAGAAGACGAGTTGATTTTTAATGGCAAAAATCCATCTTGGCTGGTTTTTTTCCACTTCAACCAGTTTTACTGAGCAGCACAGCTAAGGCTCCTCAGCTGAGTCCTCTTGTATCTCATGCACCATTAACCAGAATCTTAACCAAATTCAAGCATGGATAATGTCTGATTTATTGATGTGGGCAATCAAAAGAGAATTCATCCTGGCTGCCAGAGAACAGCAAGGATTAGTGTGAAGGGAAGTCATTTAGGTCCACAGCTGAACAGATTTTACTGTGGAGTCCCAGATGGGCAGTAAATGAGCTGTTGAAAGAGAGATGTTGTTAGAAGAGACTTTAAAAAAAGAATAGCCACGTTGAGGTCTGGGTTTGTTTTTTTTTTTTCCCCGCAATTGTAAATAGGATGAAGAACAGCTCTGTGAACCTCAGTAGCACTGCTGAGGTGAGCTGAGCTCCTCTCCCCGTGCCTTCTGCAGAGGGAGAGGATGTCCCCCCACACTGAAGGTACCAGGGCACAACCAGGCAGCTCCTTGGCACAGGCAGGCTCGGCTTGATTGGGATTGAGGAGTCTTCACTCCCACCCAGGAGTGTGACCACAGAGCAACCTCACAGGTGGGTTTTGGTGCTGGTCCTGTGCACCCAGCTCTGTCACCACCTCCCTCAGTCAGTGAGAGAGGCTGTTACATGTTTGAATTGCTCCCCAATCTAGATTTGTTGGCCTGAGCGTTGTATGTGGTTTCTACTGATACAGAGGGACTGCTTTTGCCAAGTTTTCTTTCCAAGAATGGCTCAGCTCCATTTGTGATGAGCCCATAAACTGGATTAAGGGCTCAGGGGCAGATTTTCTGGTATTTGAAACCCATAATCTGGGCTGGGCTTTCAGAACAGCTCAGTGCCCTTGTAAGCAGCAAATTATGGTCATAAATGCTCAGCACTCTGTGGTTTGTGTCAGGCTGCTCGAGGCCATGGTTTCTGTGAAGCAGCACCCAGAGCTCCAGGATCTTGGGAAAAGCAGGGCAGTGTTCCCCGTGCTGCTGTGAGAACTGAGCTTTTCTGACAGTGAGGATCCCCTACCTCTCGATTCTCCTTTTCCAGAAGTGCAAAGAGCTCTAAGAAATCAGTCATCAAATCAGTCTGTGTCCTGCAGACATCCTGTAAAGGATTTTAAATATCATCTTGTTCCACCCCTGTTCCACACATGGGCAGGGACACCTTCCACCAGCCCAGGTTGCTCCAAGCCCCGTCCAACCTGGCCTTGGACACTTCCAGGGATGGGGCAGCCACAGCTTCTCTGGGCAACCTGTGCCAGGGCCTCCCCACCCTCACAAGGAAGGATTTCTTCCCAACATCCCATCTAACCCTGCCCTCTCTCAGTTAGAAATAATCTCCCTCTTGTCCTGTCTCTCTTTGCCCTTGTCCCAAGTTCCTCTCCAGCTCTCCTGGAGCCCCTTTAGGGAAATGCCCACAATTTACCCAGGTGTGTTGTGGATTTTTCCCCTCAGCCCTTCTCCCAGCGCTTCACCTTTCTCTGAACACCCATTTGCTCAGGGGGAAATAACCTGGGGGAGATGGGTTTGGGGAGATGGGTGTAGGGATCTGGTCCAGTTGAGAAGAAAGGACAGGTGACATTTATCATCCAGGGGACTGCAAACCAGCTCAGGAGCCACTCAGAGGGCTCTGTAAACACAGTGATGCTGCTGTTGACTTATGTGCTGAAAATAACCATGGATAAACTGATGCCCTGCGTTGGAAAACCTCACTGGCATCAGGAGGAGTAAGGAATAAGCAAAACCCCTTCCTGCAGAGGTCTGGGATGGAGGAGTCTGAGAATCACAGAAACTGCTGAGCTGGGAGGGACCCACAAGGACTGAGTCCAACTCAGCCCTGCACAGGACCATTCCCAACGCTCACACCGTGTCTCAGTGCCCAGGAGGCTCTTGAGATGGCAATTATGGATAACAAGAACATGGAAAAGGATTTTTTTGGCAGCTGAAAAACGGCATCATGGGTTTTTTTTTTTCCAGACGCTTTGTTCTTGGCACGGCTGGTGGGGAGTTTCTGTTGAGTCAAACATTCCTCAGGTGGTTGTGGCTCTTGGTGACCTCTTTGCTGGGGCACTAGTGCTCATTTCTGCTGCTGGGCCTGTGCCACCAGCCCAGCCCAGCTCTTCCTCTCCAGCCTGGATCCAGTCGTGGCCAACAGAACATTCCTGAGCAATCAGTCCTGGTGTTCACAAGACTGAGGAGAGGTGAAGGCGACTGCAATGCAAAAACATCCCAAAATCATCTCCCTGTGCCTTTGACAAGGTGACAGCCCTGCTGAAAGGAAAGAGGCTCCAGCACAACTCAGAAATAAATAACCATGACACAGAAAGTGCCCAGCCCAGGGAGGGCTCCAGGAGGATGGGGGAGCTTGTGAGAGCCCCAGGGTGAGCCAGCAGATTGGTTTGTGCCCCGTGGAGCTCAGGCAGGGGTTGGCAGCGATGCCAGCCTGGCTTGGCACATCCCCAGACCCTCTGAGCGGAGACTGGCAAGGCAGGAGATCCCTCAGGGCACATTCCATGGCCTGCTGGTTGCTAATCATTCCCATGGCATGGGAGCCAGCGCCTGGCCCGCTCTCTCTGTGCTTGTCGTTCCTGGCAGGGCACTTCTGCAATTACTGGCACCCTCTGGAGGAGCAGTATTTTGGGATGATCTGCCCCCAAAAGCACAGGATAAAGATCACAGTCCCCTGCAGCTTCTCTGGAGGCACATAAATGAGTGACCAAGCAACTCAGAGCCTCAAGGACTTGTGTGTGCTCTCCCTGATGCCAGGTAGGGCAGCCTTAGAGAGCCAGGCAGAGCAGGCACACGTGGAGAACCTGCTCAAAGCCCTGAGGAACTGGGATGTATTGGCTCCTTCCTTATCCACACAGCGAGATGCCTGTCAGGAAGGCTGCTGGGTGACCCAATTTGCTCTTGAGAAACGCTTTTTGCTCGTCTCTTGCCTCCTCAGAGGGCTCATGGTACAGACTGTTCAGCCTTTTGATGTTGCTGCCCATCCCTGGCTCTGCTTCCCTCTGCCTTTCTGGGTGACCTGCTTGTCTCTCCCCTTCCTCTGGCCCCTGTCTCTCTGCAAGGAGATTTTAGGGTGGCTCTTACCACTTCAGAGTCTTTTACCCATTAAATACAGAGTAATTGATATTCAAAAAAAAAATATATTTAGTGCTTTTAAGAAATATGTATTTATAGGTATTGATACCTTTGAGTTTGGGGGATTTTTAGGTTTTTGGAAATTTTAGAAGGACTTGTGTAGGAAATGTAGATTTTAATGTAGCTGTATAATTTGTTACCCTTTTATTTTTATCTATTCCTGCCTCATAGCTGGGCAGCTGGGGAGAACTAAGCATGTTTTTTTCCTCTGAAGACTGAAAGAAGATGGATATCTAA